GCCCAGAGCTGCTTCTCCCTCCCGGCGCAGGGGTGCGGGTCAAGCCCTGGTCCTGAGGAGCCGCATCCACCTGAGCGAAATGGTCCCTCACCCGGCGTTCGGGGTCTGCTTCCAGCTGGAGTACGTCTTCTGCAGCTCGGGGGGAGCCGGTGGGAAGGAAGGGCTGAGCGTGAACGCACCTCGTCTCCGTGCCGTATGAAGGAGTGGGGATCCGCCGCGGGGGAGCGAGCCCCGCTGCCTGACTCCGTCCCCTGCCCCCGTTTCCCCATCCTGCACCCCCAAGACACAGCAGCTCCTCATGGCGTGGCCGTACTGCGTAAGGAATGGCCCCGTAAAGTGTCCAGGCACTTTCCGCAGCGCTGCAAGAAATATCCTGCGAATGGGCTTATTGAATCATTTTAATTACAGGTGGCTGCAGTTCTCCACCATGTATATGAAGAAATGTAGCCTGCAGCAGTCCCATAGCGTTCTGGCAAGCTGTGTCAGAAAATTTCAGCTTTTTTTAGTTTAGAAAAGACTTTTCTTTAGAACTTAGCATTTGTGCCGAAAAGAAGTTAGCCATCCATGTCCTCTTTTTTTTTTCTCTGAAAGCTGAGTTTTTTCTGGGAGCTTCAGCCTGATGTTCTCTGGACCTTAAAGCCAGGAGAAGTCTCTGTGTTGACTGCAGAGACCACTCTCGCTAACGCCTACTTATCAACCGTTTACATGTATTTCAGTTTAACCTTTCCACGGGTTAAACCCAGCTTAGCCCGCAGTTCCCAGCCCTCCAGGGATCCTTTCCATTCCAGATGTCAGCCCATAGCGTGGCTGAATCGATGGTGATGGGTTCATTAGGAGTCCCTAATCGTCCTGCTAAGATGCTTGTTTAAAATGCAGCAAGTGTCCTCTCTCCTTAGAACTGTCTGGAGCAAAACTGGGGGGAAAATGGGTATTTATAGAGTGGGATGTGCGGTTGGGCAAAGGGATTGGTGTTGGTGGGGGCAGGAAAAGCTGAGTGGTGCCATTGGGAATTAGGTGTTGGGTGTTAACTCCTTAAAAAAGCTGAAACCCGTGGGGTTTTGGGGCTGCAGGCGCAGATCTGTTTGTGTGGCTGTGCTGGGTGCCGGGAGCGCTGCCCGGTTCCCTGCGGCGCAGCCCTTGGGCAGAGCCGTTAATCCCAAAGCCGCTTGCCGAGCGGATCGCCGCATCCTCTGTGCCATAATTAGCAGGCTGCGAGGGTGATTGCGGGCGCTGGTAGAGACCTCTCGGTTTGCTTCTGCGCCTCTCCTTCGGTTTAAGGGGAGGCTGTGGACGCGCCTGGGTAAGTGGAAGCCTTTACGCTGCCCCTTCTGTCTGCCAGGGGTGGGGGTCCCACAGATACCCCTTATAGCGGCTGTGGAGTGAGGGGGTGACAGCCCTTCGCTGGGCGCTGGCGTCTGCCTCAGCCGACGCGTGCTAAAGACATAGGAGGGGTGGAAGCCCTGTGATTTTTGAAAAGCGTTGCGTTGTGCTTATGCGTTACATCAGCGTTATGTTATGCTGATCCGTGATCTAGAGGTGTAGTCCCTCGTGTAACTCGGTGAAGGGATGAGGTGCGATTAGCCGGAGCGCGGGCGCCTGATGTGCCGCAGCCGCAGCCTGCGGGAAGGGCAGTAACGTCAGCCGCGGGCGAGAAAACCCAAAGAGTGCCGGTGTGGGAAGGGTGGTGCGGGGTTTACGGGGAGAAAGTGGGGTTCGTACCTGTGGGCGGCTGCGGTGTGGTTTGCGGTCAGCCTTGGGGAGGGGAGATGGGGTGGGAAGGTGCCGGTTCTGCGTGCGGCGCTGCTGGCAGAGGGCGAAGCGAACCTCGCCGCCGCGCAGGCTGGCTCAGTCTCTTTCACGGGAGAGGTCTCACGATCCCGCGTCCCTTCCCTGGGACCGACGTGTCCTCCTCTGTCGGAGAGGC